TGCCTTTACATTTTGAACAAGTTGCATTATGAATGATTTACATTTTGAACAAGTTGCATTATGAATGCTTTACATTTGAATAAGTTGCATTATGGATACTTTACATTTTGAACAGGTTGCATTATGGATGCTTTACATTTCGAACAAGTTACATTATGAATGCTTTACATTTTGAACAAGTTGCATTATGGATGCTTTACATTTTGAACAAGTTGCATTATGAATACTTTACATTTTGAACAAGTTGCATTATGAATGATTTACATTTTGAACAAGTTGCATTATGAATACTTTACATTTTTAACAAGTTGCATTATGAATACTTTACATTTTGAACAAGTTGCATTATGAATGATTTACATTTTGAACAAGTTGCATTATAGATGCTTTACATTTTGAACAAGTTGCATTATGAATGATTTACATTTTGAACAAGTTGCATTATGAATGCTTTACATTTTGAACAAGTTGCATTATGGATGCTTTACATTTTGAATAAGTTGCATTATGAATGCTTTACATTTTGAATGTTTGAATAATTTGCACCATCAATGTGTTACATTAAAAATGTTGTACATTAGGTTTCGGGGAAGGGAGGGTTTGATTCTCCCAAATGTACAGGCCTAGGGTGGAGCAGACACTTTATTTAGAAATTAGGATTAAGGGTCTTGATATTGGGTTTTCTTCTGTTCTTATTCTGATCTGAAATTAGAAAAAATAACTCGCCCGATGGGCGAGAAGTATAGTATCTGTTATGTACTGATTGTTTTTAGTTTACTATGAACAATATTATCATTTAAGTTCTTATTTTTTGAATATGCAACTATCATTTTCTGCTTATAGACATGGGGGAATTTCTCTTGAAGGCTCTTATAGTGGGCATGAACTATCTTGCTTGCTCGATTGCTGGTTGTATTAAACGGGACAACAAAGGGTGCTATGCCTACATTATGATGAATATTTAGTCCTATAGGTCTTGCTGTATTCAATGTCTCAATCCAATGGGCCTCCCTAGATTGACGGAATTTGGTAGTTTCATCTTCGGGCAAGTCAATTTCTATACGCTCAATTGGGATTAGGGTGAGATCGTCTATTGAATGGTCGTCGAGGTTGAAATGATTAGAAACAGGCTTGTCTTTCTTTAATTTGATGTCTGACGTATGAGCATTAAAGCGAGTTCGTAAATTATTCTTAGTTTCTCCTACATATTGTTTGGGGCATTTCTTGCATGANATTAAATATATTACATTCGAATGTTCACATGTTAGATGTTCCTGGATCGGGTACCTTTTATTCGTAGAGTTGCTTACAAAATAATGAGTTTCTGATATAAAGGGACATGTTTTGCATATACTG